TGTAAAAACATCTTGCATTTTCTAAATTATTCGTGACGCTGTAAACAAATAAAATATTACCTTAATCATATGAAAATTTTTATAAAAAAAAAATATATGTATGCGTATAATAAAAAAAGAAAGATTATCGGGAAATTATGATAATGTCGAATCTAATATATATCTATACTTACAATTTTGATTTCCAAAATATACAGATTTGAGTGTCAACATCTATTAGATCGCAACGTAGACCAAGTCTTCTAGCCACGCTATGAAATATTGTATATACAATGATATCTTCACAACTTTACTTTGTAAAACCTGTGTCAAGTATAATACAGAACAAATCAATCAAAGCGAGAGAATATTAAAAACAACATATAACGTATACATATATGGCCCATAATTATATATATTATAATCTATAATAACTTACATAATCTATACAAAACCATTTGGTATCTTCGGGTGAGGAGATACGTGCTTGAATGTTCAAGGTGCCAAATATATATTCCTGGAGTGTATCCATAATCTGCGTACTTTCTGTTTCGTCCCAATGATTATCTTCGATATTGTTGGTTTTCCAATAGGAAAAAGTTTCTTCAGACGTGGAGAATATCGAATGGTTCGGATGCTTCTCTCTGAGACGATTCAGTATCTCTTGTGCGATTGTATCCAATGATGCACTTACATTCGTGTAACATACATCTTCTCGAACTTGAATATATTTTGACATGAAAGTACACGTTTCTTCCAAAAGTTGTTCTTTTTCTAGTTTATCTCTATATCTGTCCAACTCATTTCGTATCGAGGATAGCTTTTCATAGTGAGACATTTTTATATTGCAATATCTTTCAATTGATTTGCGATCAATTCTTCTAAAAAATTTATATATATTGAATTATTAACTAATGAATAAATACATTAACTTGTAATAATAGTAGCGTTATAATATATATGAAGATCTTACTGTTGAAATGGTGTTAACAAACATTTAATCTCCTCAATATAAAACGTATATTTCAGCGCATTTATAGGCTCATGTGTAGGCTCACGTTCAGGATCATGTTGATTTAAACGATTTACATATTCATCGATATTACCACTGAATTTCTTTACCTTATCATTGAATTCCAATACAGTATGAATTGAGTTCTCGAAGTAATTTTGATTTGATTTATTGTTGAAATAATAATCATAAAAAAGAATGTGAGATAAATAATTTCGCAATTGTATTGCAGAATTAATGCCTATTATAACAAAGTTTAGGTTTTCTTTTTTTTCTTCCTGCGTAAGATTTTCATATCTTTTCTTCGCATAGGGCCATCTAAAATACGACCATAAAATATTGTAATAAATTTTGAAAATGATACTAAGTGTTGTGTCAAGATTAATTTAAAATTAGCTGGATAAAGATGAGATAAAGTATGTAAATTCATCTTAGATTGAATGAAGATGATTTTGTTTCAAGTATATCTAGATAAAAGATACAATTATATGACGATTTATTTAGGTAATTGTTTAGATAATAATATTTAAGACTGCTTATGTATAAACACAGTTATACAAGAAATATAAATTATGAAAAAGGTACAACAATAAAAGTATTCATATTTTTAGTTATAAATTTTTATCGCTTTACTGTCTACTTTAAGTATTCTTAAGTGCTATGATTCTAAATCAAAATTATCTGAAAATTATTGTAGATAAATAATATAGTAAAGGTAGTACTTTTTTTTATCTACTCGTAATATGCAGATATAAAGATAATACATATTTTTATTATCTATATGCAGATAAGATGACGCCACAGTTCTTCCATTTAATTTTATTTAGATAACATACAGCAAACTTTGATGATAGTAAACAATGTGATTGCACAAGTCATTTTTCAAATTAATAAATTTTTTTAAGTATACAATTCTCAAAGCATGAGTATATATATGTCACTTCTTTTTATACTTTAATCAGAAAAAGAAAATATATAATAGTCAATTTAATTTGTAATTTAATTTATACTTTCCAAATTTTGATTCCAATATGTATATTGCATAATTCTATAAGTGTATTTTATATCAATTAATAAACATTAATGTGTGCATATGTATGTATAGATTAAGTTTTTTTTAAATATTTTGTAGAACAATTTTTTCGAAAGCATATTTACAAACAATGTTGATTGTGCTTATATATGTCACTTGGCATGTTTCAATTTTATAAAGATTTTATTGTGATTTCAAAGCTATTTATGAAAAAGAACCGATAGAAAAATATCAAATCTGTTTGTTTCTATCACGAATATATATCATATATATAATTTCTATATTTAAAAATGCAATTAAATATATTGAAGAATACACATAATAAATAAACCAAGTTACTTTTATGTTGTATTTTTAATAATTAAATCTAAAAAAAAATTATTTAATGATTGAATATATTTCGACCGATATACATGTAGGCTAATTAATATTTTATTAATTAATTACACAACGTTTCATATAATTTATGGCTTTCTCAAGTGTTACTGTTAAGTGTGCGAAAGACCAAAATTATATCGTCCAAACACCGTGGTCGAAACGTTGTGTGATTAATTAAATAAACAAACATCAATTGAAAAATGTCGGTTGAAAAATATTTGGTCTTTTAATTTATGACAGCCGAAAATTAAGAATCCTTTTTTATCAGTATATTATATTTAACGTTTATATTCCATATATATATATGTATATGTATATTATATATGTATATACACATATATAACGGTAGAGTATGTTAAAATTATTGAGCAATAGAAAAAATGAAAGCGAATAATTTAATATGCAACATAAATGCAACATACCTAATTTTTCTAATATTTTGTATTTATTATATATTTATAATATACGTTCTTCGCAGAAGTGATATACATTGTGCGACAGGCGTTAATGAGACAAAATAACAAAAAGATTTACAAATCACAAGAATTACCTCTGAAATAACTTTTTTTCCAAGAACTTGTTATATGTGGTTGCTGCATAACGAAATTGCTGGCACACGCATCGAAAGTTGATGATATCCTCCATAGTGATAACATTACAGCCGAGAATGATGGTTATTATCTCCTCTGGTAAGCACGTTATCTTATAATCAGACATTATGAATAACAAAATACAAGAAAAGAATATAAATTAAAGTGATTGCAATATACTATTCGCGTAATTAATTCCTTCTTTTTAAGGTACACGAAATGAATCTGCCGATTACAAGAGCACAAATGTGTGATTGATGTCCACGAGAGACGTTTTTACACTACAGACGGTCTGTTCTTTATATGAAATTTGACCTTAAATTCTAAAGTATTATTGCTTCTTCCCACTAACAATGAGATACAAATATAAAAATTTGTCACGGCATGCGCAGAAAATGAAATTTAGAACTAGCAAAAATTACCATTTTCTCCTATGCACTTGAAAGATAGAACGTGATAAATAATTTATTTATTATTTATTCTTTGTTATTATTATTTATTTATTTATTGTTTTCTATTTATGTTTAATTAAAATAATATATTTCTACAAATGTATTAGTTATTTTAAATTTTACTAATTTTTATGTATTTATATTACGTATTATTTAAGCTTAATTAAAAAAATTTTATTTCAAGTTATCAATTATTTTATTAAATTTTACCAACTTTCATGTATTCATATTTTACAATTTACAACTCTAGTGCTGTGCATTATGAAATTTTCTCGATAAGAGAGAAAGGGAAAGAGAGAGATTTACATTTTGCATTTTTCAAATCTTTACAGTTAAAATTCTCAGCTAAAATAAAATTTCCGACTTACTATACAAATATTTAATAAATGATGCATGTACAAATAGTTTACATAAGAATATTCTACAATTGTATGTAGTTTTATTCGCGCGTATATACGGGATGTATATATTCTAGAAATCTAAACTTTATAAGAATATAAAAACTCCATGGATTAAAAGCAAATTTAGAATGAACAGACTATGCGAACTCAACGCGGATGTTTGTGAATAAATCTCAATTCGAGATTTTAATTCCTATGTTTTCTTTTGATCTCCCTACAAAGATGTAGAAAAGCAAAATATATCGGTCAAAAGTCGCTGAATCGGGAACTTAGGAATTAAAATAGAGATTCTAAAATTGAGAACCAAGTTGAGATTTATTCCTAAATAGTCTTATTGTTAGCACTATGCTAAGCAAATTTCGTGCCTCGTGCACAATTATAAGACATAGGGGAAACATTAATTTTTCTTATCTAACGCACAAACCTTCGCGTTCGGCTCGCATATCCTTGTTTATTTCGAGACTAACTTTATTATTCATTAAGTATATTTGTTCATTTATTTTTCAAAAGTTTATATTAATATCTAAAAAAAACCTAAATAGTAATATTCATTTTTATCAGTTTTTTACTTACTCCTTTGGTAGCATTTGGGGAGGTGCAGAGATATTATAAAGTTGAAATAAATATCATTAATTTAAAAGAATTAATTATCTTGTTAAACTTGTCGCAAATCTTGCGATTCTAAATGACCCTAAATGTGTTCTGTACCAAAGTTTGGAGTAAATTTGCTGTTTCCTTCTCTAGGCATGCGTGTTTCTCAATAATGTGTTTTTTCATATTTTAAGATATATAAAAAATTATGGTATAAGTCTTCGTACAATTATCCCTTTTTAATATATTTTCTGATATAAAATAATATGGGCGCACACTTGGAGCATTATGTATAAGTTTTATTATATAACATACCTGTTTATACTTAAATACAAGTGCAATACATTAACAGTTTCAAGATAATAGATATTAATAGATGGCAAATTTATATTACGTCATATGTTGCATATACTTATAGAGTGTTAAAAAAAGTTAATAAACTAATTAATATTTCTAAATTTTAAATTTATAAATTCTACTGCTCTAATTTAAATTGTTCAATCACACACACACACACACACACAATTTTTCTTACTTTATCGTTTATATTAATTAATACAATAATTATAGCAGAGAGAATAATAAATATATTTCATTCATCGCGTTGATTTTCACTTGACATTGCATACAAAAATAGGGCATAATATTTATATCTATAATATAAAAGTCGAAAATATATGTATATAGTATATGTCAAAAACATCCGTTCATTATGTTGGCTCAACTATCTGTAAATTGATCTGTAAATCAATTATATATTATGATAATTACTACGGCATATTTTACGTTATAAAAAATGGTAAATTATACATAACTGTTATCTGCAAGACCCTCACAAAGTTCTTTATTTTTACAATTGTTTATATTATATACTAACATGTGATTATGTTAGTGCGGGTGTGTTATTAGCACATTACAATGCACTTTGACTAATCCCAATTTGATTATTTTATGTCCCCTTATAAACCTTCCAACTAAAGTTCTTATCATGTAGAACATCTAAAAAAGTTAATTAAACATAAATAAAGATTAAATGTAAACAAGGATCTAATTATAAATTAAAAAATGAGAGATGTATATTTCTCTTCTTTTTATACACATATAATGTAATTTATTAATTGCTTGTCAATCTACAAGCATATTAATAACTTAAAATTAATAAAAGTAATAAATAAATTTCAACCTGTCCAGTTCTTATTGTGACGCAATGTGTTTTATAACGCTTGTAAAATGGTAGAAAATCATCAAGACAGTTCGGGAAATTCTCGTCTTTTATGTAAAAACATCTTGAATTTTCTAAATTATTCGTGACGCTGTAAACAATTAAAATATTACCTTAATTATATGAAAATTTTTATAATAAAACATTATATATGTATGCGTATAATAAAAAAAAGAAAGATGATCGAGAAATAATGATAATGTCGATTCTAATATATATCTATACTTACAATTCTGGTTTCCAAGATATACAGCAGCGAAACCAAAGATCTATTAGATCGCAACGTAGACCAAGTTTTCTAGCCACGCTATGAAATATTGTATATACAATGATATCTTGACCATATTTACTTTGTAAAACCTGTGCCAGGTATAATACAGGACAAATTAATCAAAGCGAGAGTATATTAAAAACAACATATAACATATACATATATGGCCCATAATTATATGTATTATAATCTTTAATAACTTACATAATCTATACACAAACATTTGATATCTTTGGGTACGAAGTTACATACTCGAAAGTTTAAAGTGCCAAATATATATTTTTGAAGTGTATCCATAATCTGCGTACTTTCTGTTTCGTCCCAATGATTATCTTCGATATTGTTAGTTTTCCAATAAGAAAAAGTTTCATCAGACGTGGAGAATATCGAATGGTTCGGATGCTTCTCCCTGAGACGATTCAGTACCTCTTGTGCGATTGTATCCAATGATGCACTTACATTCGTGTAACATACATCTTCTCGAACTTGAATATACTTTGCCACGAAAGTACATGTTTCTTCCAAAAGTTGTTCTCTTTCAGGTTTCTTTATATATCTGTCCAACTCATTTCCTATCGAGGATAGCTTCGCATAGTGAGACATTTCTATATTGCAAAAACTTTCGATTGATTTGCGATCCCTAAAAAATGTATATTGAAGCATTAACTAATGATTAAATACATTAAATTGTAATAATAGTTGCATTATAATATATATGAAAATCCTACTGTGGAAATTGTGTTAACAAGCATTTAATCTCTTCAATATAAAACATATATTTCAGCACATCTATAGGCTCATGTCGAGGATAAAAAAAAAATCGATATGCAGGTAAAGAATGTACATATTTATCGATATTACCACTGAATTCCCTTACATTATTTTCGAGTTCCAATACATTATGAATTGAGTCATCAAAGTATTTCGATTTGATCTATTATTGTAAAAATAATCATAAAAGAGAATTTGAGACAAATAACTTCGCAATTGTGTCACAGAATTTATGCCTATTATAACAAAGTTTAGGTTTTCTTCTTTTTCTTTTTCCGTAAGACTTTCATATCTTTTCTTCGCATAGGGCCATCTAAAATACGACCATAAAATATTGTAATAAATTTTGATAATGATACTTAGTGTTGTGTCAAGATTAATTTAAAATGAGCTGGATAAAGATGAGATAAAGTATGTAAATTCATCTTAGATTGAATGAAGATGATTTTGTTTCAAGTATATCTAGATAAAAGATACAATTATATAACGATTTATTTTGATAATTGTTTAGATAATAATATTTAAGACTGCTTATGTAAACACAGTTATACAAGAAATATAAGTTATGAAAAAGATACAACAATATATATATTCATATTTTTATCGCTTTATTGTTTATTTTAAGTATTCGAATGTGCAATGATTTTAAATCAAAATTATCTGAAAATTAGTTTCAATAAATAATATAGTAAAGGTAGTACTTTTTTTTATCTATTTGTAAGATGCAGATACAAAGATAATACATATTTTTATTATCTATTTGCAGATAAGATGACGCCACAGTTCTGTGTATAGATTAAGTTTTTTTTTAATATTTTGTAAAACAACTTTTTCGAAAGCATATTTACAAAATGTTGTCTGTGCTTATATATGTCACTTGGCATGTTTTTACTTTTTATTGTGATTTCAATGCTATTTATGAAAAATAACCGTTAGAAAAATATCAAATCTGTTTGCTTGTATCACGAATATATATCATATATATAATTTTTATATCTAAAAATGCAATTAAATATATTGTAGAATACACATTATAATAAATAAGTCAAGTTACTTTTATGTTGTATTTTTAATAATTAAATCCCCAAAAAATTATTTAATGATGAATATTTTTCGACCGATATATATATATATATAGGCTAATTAATATTTATTTAATTAATCACACAACGTTTCATATAATTTTTGGTTTTCTCAAGTGTTACTGTTAAGTGTGCGAAGGACCAAAATTATATGGTCGAAACACCGTGGTCGAAACATTGTGTGATTAATTAAATATACATCAATTGACGAATGTCGGTTGAAAAATATTTGGTCTTTTAATTTATGACAGCCGAAAATTAAGAATTCTTCTCAGTATAATATATTTAACGTTTACATTCCATATATATATATATATATATATATATATATATATGTATATGTGTATTATATATGTATATATATAACGGTAGAGTTTGCCAAAATTATTGAGCAATAGAAAAAATGAAAGTGAATAATTTAATATGCAACATAAATGCAACATACCTAATTTTGCTAATATTTTTTATTTATTATATATTTACAATATATACGTTTTTCGCAAAAGTGATATATACATTATGCGACAGAAATTATTAAGACAATTACAACATTAAGAAATAACAAAAAAGATTTACAAACCACAAGAATTACCTTTGAGATAATTTTTTCCAAGAACTTGATATGGTTGCTGCATAAGAAATTTCTTGCCAGCACGAAATTGATTTATTTTGGGACATTGTAAGCTCGTTATCCTCTAAAAACTCAAAATCAGAATTATGAGTTTAAAACCAAGAAAGTACTATTTAAAATTAAAGTGATTGCAATATAGAGTTCGCGTAATTAATTCCTTGCTTTTCGCTAAAAATAGTCTGCCGATTACAAAGATAAGAATGTGTTTGAAAATAAGAAACGTTTTTACACTACAGACGGTCTTTCTTTATTATGAAATGTGAAAATTTTAAAGTCTTATTGCTTGTTTTCACTAAGATACAGGTATAAGAAACGGCATGCGCAGAAAATGTAATTTATAACTAGCAAATTTACCATTTCTTTCTATGCGCTTGAAAGATAAAACGTGGTAAAAATTTATTATTTTAATTTTCTTTAAAATATTTATTTATTTATTGTTCTTTATTTAAGCTTAATTAAAATAATATATTTTTCCAAATTTATCAATTTAAAATTTTACTAAATTCCATGGGGGTATTATTTAAAAATTTAATTATAGTAAAAAGTTATTTATATTTTTTAAATTTTATTAACTTTTATGTATTCAATTTTACAAGCTAGTATATTATGAAATGTTCTCAATATTTAATCAGAAAAAGAGAAAGATTTACATATTCAATTTTAAATTCAGTAATTTAGCTATAATAAAATTTCCGACTTACCATACAAATTTTATTAAATATGTATATTACATAATTCATAAGTGTATTCTATATGCAATTAATTACATTATGTACTTATATGTGTGTATGTATAGATTAATTTTTTTTTAATATTATGTAAAACCATTTTTTCAAAATGCAGACTATGCAAACAATGTCAGACTGTGCTGAATATATGTCAATGCAGTTTTTATTTTATAAAGATTTTATTGTGATTTTAATGCTGTTTATAAAAAAGAACCGATAGAAAAATATCAAATCTGTTATGTTTTTATCACAAAATATATATCAAATATATTTTTATATTTAAAAATGCAATTAAATATAATATATTGAAAATACACATTATAATAAATAAACCAAGTTATGTTTATGTTGCATTTATATTATTTAAATCTAAAAAAAAATATTAATGACAGAAATTTTTTGACCGCATATATATAGGCTAATTAATATTTATTTAATTAATCACACAACGTTTCATATAATTTTCGGCCAATTCAAATGTTACTGTCAAGTATGCGAAGGACCAAAATTATATGGTCGAAACACTGTGGTCGAAACGTTGTGTGATTAATAAATGAACATTAATTAGCCAGTATTAGTCAAAATATTCGGTCTCTTAATTTTTGACAGTTGAAAATTAAGAATTCTTATCAGTATATTATTTAATGTTTACATTCCAAATAAACATATATATATATATGTTTATAATATATGTATATATAACGGTAGAGTTTGTCAAATTTATTATTGAGCAATAGAAAAAATAGTTAAGTAAAATAAAATACGATAATAAAATAAAAGATTTAAATTTAAGCTATTTTCAATATAAAAGTAAAGTAAATAATATGCAAGATAAATAATGCATACCTAATTTTTCTAATATATTACTTTTTAAATTATTTATATATGTTATATATAATTATATATATATTATAGTATATGATATGTTATAGTTTTTTAAATAATAATGTAATAAAATCTTAAGACAATGTGCTACCGTTAATTAAAAGATCGAAAATTGAATTACTTTTAATTACTATAAACAAAAATAAATCATTTTACAAATTAAATCAGTAGAAAGAATAAATTAAATAATTGAAGAAATTAATTTGAAGATTACGTATCTAATATGCTGTAATCTGTTTTGTCCGTTTTGTATCTTTTAATCTATTTATTTTTGTGTATTTCTTACACTATATTTTTAATAGGTTTTATTTATAAAATTTATTTTATATTTATAAAATACGTTTTTTGCTAAAATGGTATACATTATGTGACAGAGGATATTGAGATATAAAAAAAAATGTACAAATTACAAGAATTACCTCTGAAATAACTTTTTTTCCAAGAACTTGTTATATGTGGCTGCTGCATAACGAAATTGCTGGCACACGCATCGAAAGTTAATGATATCTTCAATAGTGATAACATTATATCCGAGAATGATGGTTATTATCTCCTCTGGTAAGCGCGTTATTTCACAGTCAGACATTATATGAAACAAAACACAAGGAAAAAGTATAAATTAAAGTGATTGCAAAATACTATTCGCGTAATTAATTCCTTGCTTTTCGCAGTACACGAAATGAGTCTGCCGATTACAAAGAGCACAGATGTGTGTTTGATGTACACGAGAGACGTATTCCACTGTAGACGTTTTGTTCTTTATTATAAAATTTGACCTCAAATTTTAAAGTCTTATTGCTTGTTTTCACTAAGATATAAATATAAGAACTTGCCACGGCATGCGCAGAAAATGTAATTTAGAACTAGCAAAAATTACCACTTTTTTCTGTGCACTTGAAAGATAGAACGTGGTAAATAATTTATTTATTAATTATTCTTCATTATTACTATTTATTTATTTATTGTTCTTTATTTAAGCTTAATTAGAATAATATATTTTTCAAATTTATGAGTTATTTCAAATCTTACTAATTTCCATGTATTTGTATTATTTATTATTTAAGTTTAATTAAAATAATTTTATTTCAAGTTATCAATTATTTTATTAAATTTTACCAACTTTTATGTATTCATATTTTACAATTTACAACTCCAGTGCTGTGCATTATGAAATGTTCTCGATGGGAGAGAAAGGAAAGAGATAGATTTACATTTTTCATTTTTCAAATCTTAACAAATAAAATTCTCAGCTAAAATAAAATTTCCGACTTACAATACGAATATTTAATAAATGATGCATGTACAAGTAGTCGATATAAGAATATTCTACAATTTTATGTAGTTTTATTCGCGCGTATATATGGGGTGTATATATTTTAGTAATCTAAACTTTATAAGAATATAAAACTTCATGGATTAAATACAAACTTAAAATGAACAGACTATGCGAACTCAACGCAGATGTTTGTGAATAAATCTCAATTCGAGATTTTAATTTCTATGTTTTTTTTTTATCTCCCTACAAAGATGTAGAAAAGCAAAATATATCGGTCCAAAAGTCGCTGAATCGGAAACTGAGGAATTAAAATTGAGATTCTAAAATTGAGATGAATTTGCAAAATCTGCAATTATGCTAATATCATACAAAATCTAATATCATTTATAAGCTTTTATCGTCTCCTTCAATACAAAAGAATTATGTATATTTGAAAATATAAAAATCATTGGTTTTCATTAACATACCTATTTATACATTCGCAACACACTATCGATTATATAAGTTTAAAATAATAGATATTAATAGATGGCAAATTTATTACGTCATATTTCGCATATATTGGAAGTGTTAAAAAAAGTTATTAAACTAATAAATTTTTTTATTTTAAGATTTATTAATTCTTCTGCACCAATTCAAATTGTTGCAATCACACAATTTTCTTACTTTATTATTTATAATAATGAATACAATAAATATCGCAGAAAGATAATAGCTATATTTTATTCATCGTTGATTCTCAATTGTCGAACATGTATGTACATATGTATATGTCAATAACATCCTATTATCTATTATGTTAGTCCGAATCTGTAGATTAATCTGTAGGATTATATATTATGACAATTTCTACAGCATATTTCATTTTTTCATTTATGTGTTTTACTATTTAAAATAAGACAGAAACTGTAAAATTTTTACTTTCATTGACTTTTTGTGAATAAATGCCTCAATAAACAATTAAAATACGTAAAATTATAGAAAATTGTAAATTATACATAATTGGTATCTGAAAATATCTCACAATGCCCTTTATTTTTACAATAGTATATGTTATATACTAATATGCGATTATGTTAGTGCGCGTATGTTTTTTACACATTAAAATTCACTTCGATTAACATCAAATTATTTATTTATGGTCCTTTATAAACATTCCAACACAAGTTTTATTATGTAAAAATCCATCTAAAAAAGTTAATTAAACATGAATAAAGATTAAATGTAAACAAGGATCTAATTATAAATTAAGGAATGAGAGATGTACATTTCTCTTCTTTCTATACACATATATTGTAATTTATTAATTACTTGTCAATTTACAAGCATATTAATAACTTAAAATTAATAGAAGTAATAAATAAGTTTCAACCTCTTCAGTTTTTATTTTGCTGACGTCATTATATGTTTCATAAGACTCGTAATCTTGTAGATAATCATGAAGACAATTCGGGAAATTTTCGTCTTCTATGTAAAAACATCTTGCATTTTCTAAATTATTCGTGACGCTGTAAACAAATAAAATATTACCTTAATCATATGAAAATTAAAAAAAAATTATATATGTATGCGTATAATAAAAAAAGAAAGATTATCGGGAAATTCTGATAATGTCGAATTCTATATATATCTATACTTACAATTTTGATTTTCAAAATATACAGATTTGAGTGTCAACATCTATTACAACGCAACGTAGACCAAGTCTTCTAGCCACGCTATGAATTAATGTATATACAATGATATCTTCACCAACTTTACTTTGTAAAACCTGTGCCAAGTATAATACAGAACAAATCAATCAAAGCGAGAGAATATTAAAAACAACATATAACGTATACGTATATGGCCCATAATTATATATATTATAATCTATAATAACTTACATAATCTATACAAAACCATTTGATATCTTCGGGTGAGGAGATACGTGCTTGAATGTTCAAGGTGCCAAATATATATTCCTGGAGTGTATCCATAATCTGCGTACTTTCTGTTTCGTCCCAATGATTATCTTCGATATTGTTGGTTTTCCAATAGGAAAAAGTTTCTTCAGACGTGGAGAATATCGAATGGTTCGGATGCTTCTCTTTGAGACGATTTCGTACTTCTTGTGCGATTGTATCCAATGGTGCACTTACATTTGTGTAACATACATCTTCTCGAACTTGAATATATTTTGACATGAAAGTACACGTTTCTTCCAAAAGTTGTTCTCTTTCTGGTTTCTCTCTATATCTGTCCAACTCATTTCGTATCGAGGATAGCTTTTCATAATGAGACATTTTTATATTGCAATATCTTTCAATTGATTTGCGATCAATTCTTCTAAAAAATTTATATATATTGAATTATTAACTAATGAATAAATACATTAACTTGTAATAATAGTAGCGTTATAATATATATGAAGATCCTACTGTTGAAATGGTGTTAACAAACATTTAATCTCCTCAATATAAAACGTATATTTCAGCGCATTTATAGGCTCATGTGTAGGCTCACGTGCAGGATTATGTTGATTTAAACGATTTACATATTCATCGATACTACCACTGAATTTCTTTACCTTATCATTGAATTCCAATACAGTTTGAATTGAGTTCTCGAAGTAATTTTGATTTGATTTATTATTGAAATAATAATCATAAAAGAGAATGTGAGATAAATAATTTCGCAATTGTATTGCAGAATTAATGCCTATTATAACAAAGTTTAGGTTTTTTTCTTTCTCTGTAAGATTTTCATATCTTTTCTTCGCATAGGGCCATCTAAAATACGACCATAAAGTATTGTAATAAATTTTGATAATGATACTTAGTATTGTGTAAAGATTACTTTATAAATTAGCTGGATAAAGATGAGATAAAAGTATGTAAAAATTTATCTTAGATAGGATAAAGATGATTTTGTATTAAGTATATCTAGATAAAAGTTATAATTATATGACGATATATTTATTTAATTGTTTAGATAATAATATTTAATAAATGATAATCCTTAAGAGTCGCCAGTAATAAATAATGAAAATCTCTCCTCCAATTTTAAAGTCGACCAGACTGGCAATAATTTATTTAAAAAATTAGTTAAATTACAACGTTTCGGCTGTCATATGTTACATATTTATTTATTTATTTATTTATTTGACTTTGTATTGACGTTTAAAAATTGCGAAAGACACAGTACTCTGGTTTTCTATCTTCTCAACGCGTTAGTGACTAAGTTTTCTGCTAACAGTCAACATCTATTTTTCGTGCTCACTTCCGTCAGTTATACATTGTTCATCAAAACAATGGTTAATTTTGTCGGGGGTTTGCTGTAAATTTGATTTATGGTATTAATCTGGTACGTAAACATATATATTTTTGTAAATTTATAATTATTTGTATGATTAAGCGCATTAAGAGTATATTTATATGTATATTATTGTTCATAGATTACTTGAAAAGGGCTGCAATGACAGCCGAAACGTTGTAATTTAACTAATTTTTAAATAAATTATTGCCAGTCTGGTCGACTTTAAAATTGGAGGAGAGATTTTCATTATTTATTACTGGCGACTCTTAAGGATTATCATTTATTTTATTACACCAAGACCTTACTATGGTGGTTATACAAAGAGGCTATTTTAATTATGTGGCGGAGAAATTTAGTAGGCAAATGTCCTTGATGCTTAAATCGTGGATCAAGACTAAGAAGAACATTTGCAAAACATACCAACAGCTGATCTTTTTACTACGTTGCAGACGGATGGATATTTCACCTCCGCATATTAACAACGGTATAGCAAGTAAATCAAATATTTTCCAGAGCAGAAATGTCACACGTAAATGGCTATATTTCCAGCATCGTAACAAAATCGTATTATTAAACTTAGAGATAGAAGATATCAACTGCAAATTGCGTGTCTTGCGTGCCAATTTGAATCAGATAGAGAAACGATTGTATAATAATTTACCGTATGATTTTGTCTTCGGATTTGTGGATTATAATAAGCATATTTTCTACAAATATAATAATAAAGAAAAGTGGCGTTTAAGAAAGAAATTCGATTACATTTGTCGGAAGTATTATGGGGTTCGAAATCCATTGACAAAAATAGATTACAGCAAATGGATTGTTAACATTAGTAATTATCGCGTTCCGGATTCAGTTATGAATTTTTTGAGTTTGGGTGACAAGTTCGGCGTGCCCATTTTTAGAAATAATAAAAATGATAGGAAAATCTCGGTTTTGGAAAACATAAAAAATATAGAAGCAAATTATAGAAAGTTTCCTAAGGATAACATCGACAATGTGAGATTTTCAGTAGCGAGCTCAGTACACAAATTTTTAAGTAAACAAAAGCATGTGAGTCATATTGATAGTTACATTTTGAATAGATATGCTTATAGTTCGAAATTTTTGAAATCAAATAGTAACATTTTCGTAACAAAAGCAGATAAGGGCCAGGTCACAGTATTGATGAATCGGACTGACTATGCGGGTAAAATGAATTGTTTACTGAAAGATGTTTCCACCTATAAATCACTTAATAAAAATCCATTAAACGCTCTCAACGCAAAGATCACGACCTTATTAAAATCTTGGTTGGATAATGGACTCATAGATGATTCAGTTTACAAACAATTGAGATGTACTAATGGCAATTTGCCTCGTGCCTATGGTTTACCTAAGATCCATAAAGTAGGTTACCCTCTTCGTATCATAATTTCAACGTTAGGAAGTCCGGTTTATTACATTGCATCTTATTTAAGTGAGATTTTGCAAAATGCAGTCAATAAACCTCGATCTCACATTAAGGATAGTTGGTCCTTTGTTGAAATTATTAAGGATAAAAACATTGATGACGATCATGTCATGATTTCGTTGGATGTGACTTCGCTTTTTACTAACACACCGTGGGAATTAATAAAGTAGCAATAGAAAATCGTTGGGATGATATCTCACAATTTACTTCATTTAACATGGCACAGTTTTTACATGCTATTGACACGGTTATGCGCTCGACTAGTTTTGTTTTTGATGGAAAATTTTACGAGCAGGTTTTCGGTTCGCCTATGGGGTCTCCTTTGTCTCCAATTTTGTCTGATATGGTTATGGACGATTTGGAATCATATTGTTTGCGTCAATTGGATTTTGAGCCCTATTGTTATTTCAGATATGTTGATGACATTTTTTCAATTATTCCGAAATGTAAAGTGGAGGATATGCTTACGATTTTTAATAGCTTTCACACTCGACTAAGGTTTACGTTTGAATTGGAGAACAATTGTTCCTTAAGTTTTTTAGACACAAACGTTATACGAGTTAATGGCAAATTGACGACTGACTGGTTCCGTAAGCCTACGTTTTCAGGCCGTTATATAAATTTTCTTTCGAACCATCCGATGCGTTATAAAATTAGTGTGATCACAAGCCTCGTGGACAGGGCTATTTTACTCGCGGACCCTATGTTTCACGAGAAAAACATCATCTTAGTCAAACGAATTCTTCGTAACAATTGTTACCCGTCAACAGTCATAAACAAAATTATTAACAGGAGACTTAGGGCGATTAAATTTGGCGGTAATTTTGGTGCGTCTAATCGAGATAAATTTGATACACGAAATGCTATAGTGTTGCCGTATATTAGAGATTTGAGCGAAAATATTACTCGTTGCATAAACAAAAATGGAATCGGTGTATTATATACCGTTCCTAAAAAATTAGACACATTGATAAAAAGAGGAAAAGATAGTATTGACAACTTAAAAAGAACCGATGTCGTTTATAAGATCGAATGCGCGAACTGTGACTCTACATATATTGGACAAACAAAGCGACATTTAGAAACACGTATTAAGGAACATAAAAATAACATCAAAAAAGACACGACATCACACTCAGTTGTTAGTTTGCATCGGACTTGCAACGATCATGAGTTCCGTTGGGATTCTCCGTGATTCTGCATCAGAGAAAAACAAACAAACGAAAAGAGAAATAGCAGAATGTTCTATATAAAAAACCAAAGAAAGAGCATTAATTTACAAAAAGATACGGAGAATTTCAGTGGGATTATGATCGCGTTCTTGAAGCTATTTAATATATGTCATTGTTTACATATTATTTATTTATTTATTTATTGACTTTGTATTGACGTTTTAAAAATGCGAAAGACACAGTACTCTGGTTTTCTATCTTCTCAACGCGTTAGTGACTAAGTTTTCTGCTAACAGTCAACATCTATTTTTCGTGCTCACTTCCGTCAGTTATACATTGTTCATCAAAACAATGGTTAATTTTGTCGGGGGTTTGCTGTAAATTTGATTTATGGTATTAATCTGGTACGTAAACATATAATTTTTGTAAATTTATAATTATTTGTATGATTAAGCGCATTAAGAGTATATTTATATGTATATTATTGTTCATAGATTACTTGAAAAGGGCTGCAATGACAGCCGAAACGTTGTAATTTAACTAATTTTTTAAATAAATTATTGCCAGTCTGGTCGACTTTAAAATTGGAGGAGAGATTTTCAATAATATTTAAGACTGCTTCTGTACACACAGTTATACAAGAAATATAAGTTATGAAAAAGATACAACAATATATATATATTCATATTTTTATCGCTTTATTGTTTACTTTAAGTATTCCAATGTGCTATGATTCTAAATCAAAATTATCTGAAAATTATTTTCAATAAATAATATAGTAAAGGTAGTACTTTTTTGTATTATTTGTAAGATGAAGATGTAAAGATAATACATATTTTGATTATCTATATGTAGATAAAATGCGCTACAGTTCTTCTGTTTAATTTTATTTAGATAACACACAGCAAACTTTGATGATAGTAAACAAGTGATTGCACAAGAAATTTTTCAAATTAAATAAATTTTTAAAGTGTACAATTTAAAGCATGAGTTTATATAAGACATTCTTTTTATATTTTAATTAGAAAAAGAAAATATATAATAGTCAATTAATTTGTAATTTAATTTATACTTTTCAAA